ATGTAGAGATGTATGTAGAGGTGTATGCAGAGGTCTAAGTATAGAGGTGTAAGTAGAGGTGTATGGAGAGGAAATGTAGAAGTGTATGTAGAGGTGTATGTAGTGGTGTATGTAGGCGTGTATGTAAAGGTGTACGTAGAGGTTTATGGATGGATGAACTATTGTGTTTTTAAGCACGTTGAGGGTAGGCTACACAACTGTACCGACTTGTCTTTCAGCTTGCCACCGCGAGCCGTCCGCCGGCCCGTTACGCCTGAATGGTTACAAATTCCCCAGGTGCTTGCAAATCCACCTGTCAAGTATGTGCTATGCTGTTTGTGTGCTCCGGTGGCTTTGAATAGTTCACCGACGACTGCCGCCCCCCCCCCTCCCTCGTCCATGATCTGTTGGCTAAAGGATATTTTTCGATCACGTCTCAGTGTGACCCCGCGTTTCATTGCCTTCAACCCTGTTACACAACTGAAACTAAATGAGCTGACATGATTATACTGCGGTACACTGTCGGGTACGGGACATGTTTTGTGCAGGGCTTGTCTGGTTCAATAAATTAGCTATCTATTACTTTAAAAAAACAACAAAAAAAAAATCAGTTTCGCATTTCTTCCTCTTCTATATATTAGGGGCCCATGATCAGTGTATTGATCGTTTTGGCTCCTATGCACGTTGAGGGGATTTGCAATGTTTCTGTGCCTGGTGTTGATGAGGATATTTCACTGATTGCAAGTGCTACTTTGTGATGGAATCATGCACTGGGGGTTGTAAGGCTTGAGGCAATAGACGCTAATGTGTCTCGTGTTGTCGCCTCAACTGTTCCTTTTGAAAGCGTGTTCCAGTCCCTGATTGTCTTGGGCAGGAATGAGCAGTTCCTATATATATCATTGATATATCGTTGCTAAAATACTTTCCTGTGTGTCTTAATGAGAATGTTTCTCCATATGCTGAAGATGAACATTTAAAATGTAATCAAAACACATGACAGTTAGAACAGAGACGATTGTGTTTGTGGGGGGGGGGGGGGGGAAAAAAAAAAAAAATAGATAGACGGATCTTTATTTTAGGGAAATACATTGGGAAAATGAACAGCACACTTGAAAGAAACAGAATAAAAAAATATTTTTGAGATACAAGGAGCGTGAACGAAATAGTAAGTAAGTGAAAAAGAGAAAAGAGAGAGACAGAGAAAGAGAGAGAGATAAAGAGAGACAGAGAAAGAGAAGAGATTGATCGTTTAAGAGAGAGAGAGAGAGAGATAGAAAGAGAGAGAAACTTAGAGGAATTATTTGAGAGAGAAAGTTATATGGAAAAACAGAGCGAATGAATAAGAGAAAGCAGCTGGTAGGCGACCGTTTCGTTCAAGCTTTCGTCTTGACCGAAAGACTCCCTGGACGGTAGGGGTGGTAACGCAACACCTTCCCCCGGATGGAAGCAAAGCAGTCCTGAACTAACCGGGGAGTGGACCGCGAACGCTTTAAACGCAGCGTTTTTCGTCGTCCAAACTTCCCCCAGGCCAGGGGGAAGGTTACCGCCGCGCTTCCGCACGGTCTGGTGGCAGAGAGACCCGGCGCCTGGCCCGTGTGGAGGTGTGCAAGGGTAGGTGGGTATTAAGAGCTCGCGCTCAACGACCCACCGAAGTCATTTCCCTATGTGACGTTACCTCTGTGCCTGCCTATCTCTTTGTCTCGCTTTCTGTCTCTCTCCGTCTTAAGATGGTGTTTAAGATGACGATTGATGTGGTGGTAAGTTGTGTGGTATCGAGCAATGGTGATTGGGAAGGTTTGTTGACAGGCAGCGATTGCTGTGACTTTTGAAAACGTTGTATTATGGGAAGTTAATTATTGGAACCGGATATGACACAAAACAGCAACATGGACGTTTTGATTAATGCATTCGTAAAATGTAGGTGAAAAAAAAGTGAGATTAGCTATTAAAAAAAAAAATCCCTTATATTAAGTTCGCTTTTGTGTGTATAGGGCAAAATTTTCGAACGATTAATTGACCCACTTGCCGTCAACCTTTCGAGCTGAAATTTGGCACACAGACTATTTGTTGATGACAACACATTCTTTTTAATGTTTGCCCCGACCCCTAACAATAAGTGTTTTTTCTGCTTTTCAAAGAGAAGATGAAGGAAACATTGGTGCCTTTAAGTTTACGCAAAGAAATTTCCGATAACTGCGCTAAATGGCGGTTTAAGAACGTCTGGGGCACAAGAATATTAAAATTAAAAATAATAAAGAATGCATGTAAATGATTTGAAAGAAAAACTTTGTTGTTTAGGGGTTGTGGTCTTGTTCTCGGAAGTAACGGTTCACAGAAAGGTGCGTGCCATAAATCCCCCTTCCTAATAATACAATTAAATAGCATTGTTTCCAGGTGAACTGATGGATCATTAAACTAAAGATTTCGACCTAAATATTTTCAGAGCTTGGTGATTTAAATCAATCCAGTGAGTGAAGATATGGATTAGGTGTTTCATCAATAAGTATTGCAATAAAATTACAACGAACAGATTCAAAGAATCACACACCTTTTTAAAACAATTTTTTTTGCGAAACACATAAACTCTGTCAGGTGTAAGTAAAAATACACATGCGTATAAAACACAATTGGTTTAATCGAATGTTTCAAAAGTAACAGGTCCATGTAAATGTGAACAGCAAAAATGAATTCTGTTTTAAAAAAAAAAAAGTGCAAGGCATTTATCTGAGATTTTATAGGGAGAAAAGAATTAATCCATTGAGATTTGGATTCTTCAGATTAATGGCAAGATTTAACTGTGCATAGAACGTGGTCGCAAACAAACAGGCCCGCTGCAATAATAGCGTAATATATGATCACAAATAATTAAACACTGCTTTTTGTTTTTTTACTCATTATGACAACAAATATGCCAATGGATATACGACATGGGGGGTGTGGGGGCATGCAATGACCGCATTTTGTCCAAATTCGCATTATAGATGGAGTTTACTGTTCAATAATGAACGAGTGGAATAATCCACAATCAATCAACGTTAATGAGTTTAAGTTGATATGTTTGGTTCACAGTAACAATGTGGATATTGTGATATGACTTTGTCAAAGTTAAGTTCCTGGGAGATCATTCACATGAGGAAAAAAAAAATTTGCAGCGATTACTCTGAACTGAATTAATATAATAATTTGTGACAGTCAGAACCAGCCAAGGGTAGCTGAAAGTTACGAGTTTCATGATTTAATCACATGGGACGATCAGAAATAGGTAAGGGTAGCTGCCAGTCAAGAGTTTAAAGCCCATATAGGTTGATATTTTGTTATTTACTGTAATGACCACCATAAGTGTTTTTGTGTTGTTTTAAATAATAACTCACACACCCCACAAGTGTAAGACGACGTCAAAGTGTGCAGTTAGCAAATATGGTTCACGCAAAGAGTACCTCTTTTCAATGTTATGATCAGTTTTAATCTAACAATAACGGACGCAAAATCAATAATGGAATTCACAATTATTGGAATTCATAATGTCTTTGACGTAAACACTTAATTTGTATTTATTTATTTATTTTTTTTTTTCATTTTTTTTTTTTTTTTTTCAAGCTGGAGTTATTAGACTTCATTAGATATTTAACTAATTTTAAAACGATTGGACTGATCGAATAACTCGCGACTGTTTTTTATTTTTTTTTTTTTTTTTATTATTTTTTTTTTTTTTTTTTTTTTTTTTTTTTTTTTTTTTTTTTTTTTTTTTTTTTGCAAGCTGGAGTTATTAGACTTCATTAGATATTTAACTAATTATAAGACGATTGGACTGATCGAATAACTCGCGACTGTCGGCAACGCGTAATGTCCTATAGAGGACATGCCAGAGCTAAAATTAATACTAGGCGCCCATTAACAAATAAAGCGTTCTACTGTCTTGAATGACGTTGGTATAAACGTCCCTTAGTTTTACAAGCTAAGCGAATCTTAGAGGCGCGGCCACCTTGTGGACGCTTCTATTTGAATTTTATCTTTGAATGATTTAAAACTTTCATATATTGTTTCTTTCATGAAATATCTCACATTTGAATTTATCTAAATTTTCCCCAGATAAAAAAAAACAAAACAAAAGACATGGCATGGTTTTATAGTTATATCAAGTTATCACAAATTTAAACCTCTTGAGAATTGTTTCTTGTTAGTCCGTGGCATGCAAAAGATGACCAAGGCAAGATGGAAAGGTGAGTTTGCAGGCGGTCTGCCGATCGTATTTGTGCCTGGAAAGCTTTCCTGCACGTGGGACACACGTTGTTTGTTTGGGTCCTATTTGGTTTTTGAATCGATTCTGCTTTTCCTTGCCATTCGCCTTCTTTGGGCGTGAGAGGTGCGCTTTCTATCGGTATGAGTGGTGCTCTTTCTTTGCACGTGAGCGGTTGCACTTTCTTTGAGTATGAAAGATGCGCTTTCTTTTCAATGAAAATCTTTCATAAGCAAAGTACTCTCTAAGTATAGACACATCTTTAATCTGGTGTTCATTTTCCTGTTTCTTTTTAAATTATTTTTATAATTAATTAATATCATAAGTTACCAGATAACATATATAATATCATTATCTCTCCAAAAAAAAATATATATATAAATAATAATTTTTGACAAAATCTCCTGGCTGTCAGTCGAAGCTTAGCATTCCATCTTGTATTTTGCACTGTGTACGGATTTCTCGAGATATAATCGTCTGCTCGGTCATTCTAGCAATTTTCTTGTGTAAAAAATTTTTTCGGGGTTGTTGGAATGAGAAATAGAAGTTGGGGGGTGGGGGAGGCACGTAAAGTGAGTCTATTAACATTTTATACGAAATAAAGGAAACCGTAATTCTTCAAATAAACGTTGCTCTTAACGTATTGTATCATTGGTCATACATAGTGATACCATGACGCTTCTATCAACTTGACGCCTCTGTCAATATTGACCATGACGCACGCAGCATTCACACACACACACACAACCCCCCCCCCCCCCCCCAAATTCATACAGAGAAGAAGCCATGCTATAATACTGTGGCAATGTACAATTAGAAGATTATTTTTTTCTTCTATTTTTTACCCAATAACGCCAAGTTGTTTAAGGTCAAAGGTGGCTGGGTGGGAATCGAGCTCAAGAGCTTTAAATCACATGATTAAAAAAATTCTCAAGTCTATGGGCTGACAACTTGTTCTTTCGCAATCCAAAAATTACTCCGAAACCAAGACGAACTTAAGACGTTCACACGGCTTTCTAATCATGACCAGTTTAGTTGTCAGACACTGGAGAGGAAGTAAACTATGGGGGATACGCCCTTGGTCAAGTTATGTCATTCGGTTCTCTGCAGTGGTTGTCTCCCATCCACGCTTTCATATCGTAGACCTTGCTCTCCACCGGCTTTGTGTTTAGAAACTTGCACACATAACAAGCAGTTCCGTCAATCCCTTGACTGCCGTCGGACCAGTACATGTCCTTGTACTCCAGCAGTTTGCTGTAGGCCTTCAAGTCGCCGGCCAGTTTCTTCAAGTGCAGCGCCAAATCTTTGGCCGTCTTGAAGTTGGCCGCGTTGACGAACGTGTTCTTGGGTAAATGCTGGTCGTAGTTGGCCCCGCCCCTCACCACGGGAACGATGTGCATTTCCGGCTCGAAGAGCTTGAAGAGTTTTTCAGTGACGTAGTCCGTGCAGATCGAGTTCTCGAAGGAGAGATAGAACATGTACAGCCGGGGCAGTTGTGCCAAACAGTCGGGGTTGTCTTTGGAGCAGGGCTGGCCGCATGCTCCGTAGATGTCCACGTCGATATATTTCTAAAATAAAGAAAAAAAGAAAGAAAAAGATATACTATTTTATATGACTATTAAATATTGTTATAGCTAGAATTCGAAAGGCTAGAACCAGCATTTGTGCTATTAAAGAAAATATGGGAGTCGAAGGAGCTGAAACTGCACACCATATTTAGAATATTTAAAACAAATATCAAGACAGTCCTACTAATATGGAGCAGAAACTTCGAAGACAACAGCGAGCATTACGCTGAAGGTACAGACCTTTTTAAACACATTCCTTACAAAGATCCTGAACATCAAATGACCAAATACCATTACCAACAAAAATCTGCTAGAAAGGTCTTACTAGGTGCCATATTGATGACGAAATCATGAAGAACAGATGGAGGTCGGCAGGGCATACTCTCCGAAAACTCCGAGATTATATCACCAGAAAATCCCTAAAATTTAGTCCACAGGGGAAAAGATAGAAAGGAAGGCCAAAGAATGTATGGAGTCGTGAGCTACAGGCAGACACGCAAGGTATGGGATTCACCTAGAAGCAACTGGAAAGGAAATCACAGGAATTTGGTGAATGGAAAATGCATGTGGGCAGCCTTTAACCCAGTCAGGGTAAAAAGGCATAAGAAGAAGATCCAATAATATGACGGAAAAATGCACGTCTAAACAATATTTATTGTGTGCATAAATTTGAAAAAATCCGATGATGTTAAGCTTGGATAGGGGTATTTTCGATAGCCTTAAATGTTTTTGAAATCCTACTTTTGAAATTAACTATTTAAATTGGGAAATTTAATCTCCTAGATTAAAAAAAAATATTAATAATTAATCGTTAAGAAGTAAAAATGTATAATTATTTTGATTTTTTTGCTAGGAAGAACCAACTGACAAATATCCTTCACTACAGAATAGTTTTCAGCTACTTATTTTTATATTTTTTTGTGTTTTACGTTTGATTTTCTGCTGTCTGAGATATTGATAACTAGTTTGTTTTTTTAATCTTGGTCATTCAAATTTAGGGCACATGCACCTCCATGCCCTACTCAACTGACGTCCTTGAACTGGGATTATGATTAATTCCCTGCTTTATCTTCAGTGGAAATTTGTCATTAACTATTTGATAACTAATGTTCGCGCCGCGTGCAATCCGAAAGTCCAAAGTTTTTTTAGGACGGTCTCCACAGATATCTGCGGTACCCCTGCAGTCTGTTTTAACAAATTTTCCCGCACACCTCTTTCTGTTTGGACATTTCACAGTAACTAGGAACCGACGTCTGCATTCCAATGAGCTTGGTTTTTAACTACTGTCACTCGTCCTGTTGCACTCTATGCCTTAACGACCGGTGGTCAGTTTTCGCAGGTGTGGGATTTTAGCCCATCCCCCTGAACTACCCAGGTTTTGACTCTCCGCAGTGAATTGGTGTAGTGAAAAAATAAATCGCATAAGTTGTCTTTCAGGGTTGAAAACTGGAGACCGCCCCCCCCCGCCCTCACCCCACACTCTGGTCGTAACCCTCTGACCACGTCGTTGATGACTTCCCCGTCTAAAGTAGACTATATGACCCACATCCCTATTCAACAACCAATCAGGTGTTACCTGCAACTCTCTGACGTACTCTCGTCGTCTCGATGGCGTCTCACAGTTGCTGACAAACCAGGCGGCAGTTTTCTTCTTCCTCTGGGCTATTTCAACTGTAGGAAAAATGCAAATATTTTATTAAAAAATTGTTAATAAAATTTTACGCTGTGCTCATGTAGCCCTTGGCGTTTTCTACATTTAATTCTAAACGGAACGGACCAAGATGTTTGCCAATCCCTTTCTACACCCCCCCCCACCCACGCCATATGCAAAATGTCGTCCCCTAATATAAAGTAACACGAGCCACCTTGGGGTCGGTGACCGCCCAACGCAGCGATCATTGTCCTACACATCTCCATGTACATCTTTAATCGCCTGCTGCTGAGTGATATATACAATGAAACCAAGAAACTGTCCATTGGAGGTGTTTCCGCTGAGACACCCGCATCTAATTCCACAGGCCCATTGACATAATTCTACCTTAAAGAACAACAAACACATAGTTTTTTTGGTGTTTTTTTTTGTTGTAAGTACGCCGTCAAGTCGTAAAAGACCTTCACAACCTCCGATGATATGACTGCGTGAGAGATTCGGTACATGCATTTCCATGTAGTCCCAGCCACCGCCGCTCCGAGCCTCTTGTTGTTTTTGATCAAATTTTTCTAAGAATGGTCTGACAACTCTGCGTTTCAACGTGATTGCTGAACTAAACTATTGTATGTAGAGGGGGGGGGGTGGTGGTGACACTTTATCAATCACAGTAGGCAGACATTGTTGGTTTATAAGTAATGCAATTAAAAACAGGAGGACCCACGTGATTAAGACGACTTCATGGGGTCTGAGAGTTTTATACAGAGGCGTATGTGGAGTTCTCGAAAAAAAAGAGTCATTTCGCGGCTCCCACCTCGAATATGAGCGCCAATAGTCTCATCAATCAAACACCACTGAAGCTCATTTTGGCGCAAAGCTGATCTGGTGACCTGGGGGCATATGTCCCCTTCTTTACCTCTTCCCCCTCCCCCCATGTTTAGCTTTTAATGTACCTGCCTTAGGTAAAGCTGTGCGGGAATTTGTGTGTGTTTGTGTTGGGGAGTGGGGTGTCGTCACTCTATGTGTGTACGTTGACACGACATGGTACAATTTTGTTAAACTTTTCAAAGCACTTTTTGAATTTAGCAGGGTGGTTAGTAATAAAACCAATGATGTGTAGGTATGACGTCCTGGTCTGCGTTTGGCTAACTTTAGGCTAAATGTCTACTGGCTCGAGCTTGTTAACAAATTTTTTGACAATTCGGAGCCAAGGGGATGGGTTCGTAGTGATTGATGGTGGTATTCAGGAGGCGGTTCTCAAACACATGATACTTATTGGAAGGAAGCAGCCCCCACCCGCCAACCCCACGCCCTCATGGCTCAAAGGTGTCAAAAATGTTTGAGTCGGAAGCATAAACTAAACATAGCGATGGCTCATGATAACGACGAGTATATGTGAGTGTTTATGTCTATAAGTGTGTAGATTTTTTTTTTTGCAAAATAATGTGTGTGAGAAAATTCGTCCTCCCGTTGCCCTCAGTGTGAATACAGCTTGAGACTCGCTGGTTAATGAAATTGACAGCTCTTTTGTAATTCCAAATGGTAAAACGGACATGAGATTTATTTTTTTTTTTTAAGAATCGCGTCTGGTTATAAGGACTGCAGAACGTGGTCAAATAGTGAAACGTTAAAGGCACACTTATTTAAAAGAAACAAAACCAAGATAAAAACAACATACATTAATACTAATTATATTAATTTCTTGTTTTTGAATTCATAATTAATTAACATTATTAGTATTATTGAATGACCTATTCAGCTAATTACAGTTAGCGGGATGGCTGAGCCTGGTGATCGCTAAAAAATCGTCTACAATCTTGCAATCCAGTTGAATCAGCCATGCAGCTTTATTTCCACTCTCCGCCGTTCACGTTGATTAATTTATACGATTACAAACTCTAAATTTATTTCTAAAAGGACGCCGTCTAGTAACAACTAATTAGGGCCTAGCAATGTGACTAGCCGTTTCCCCCGCAGTGCAATGACGGTCATTGCTTATTATATAAGATTACAATCGCTAAATTTATTTCTAAAAGGACGCCGTCTAGTAACAACTAATTAGGGCCTAGCAATGTGACTAGCCGTTTCCCCGCACTGCAATGACGGTCATTTCGGAGGTTCCGCTTCTGTTATGTGTAGATTTACCGATAATTTTCATGCTCCTGCATATGCAGCTCGCGTCCCATACACAGATGCTAGTAGTAGTATAGCATGCTTCTTTCAGGTCGCAATGTGGAGGGTAACTTCTCCGAAGGGTCGATCGATAGATGAAAGGATTATAATCGACTTATTATTTTTTAATTTCATTTTAGTTAATAGACTCCCTTTGTTTTATAACAGGTTTTTAATAATTTAATTAATAATTTGTGCATTTTAAATAAGTTCTCATCTTTTTTTTTTAAACAACAACACATAAGACTGCAAGTGGGAAAGAAAAGGGGTGTAATACAGTTTATGGACAGAAAGAGTGATTCTCAATCTTAGGCAAGGTGGTCATGAGGATTGTTTTTCCATCATTTCTTCTAATACTACTAGAAATTGGACCTACTGTAGTTGGGTCTCTCTTTCAGAGGCCTGGGCTGGAACCTGAGCCTGCTGTACGGGAGGAAGATGTCGGAATCGGTCCTGTAGGTGGCAGTAAGGTTGAAGGCGTGATTCCAGACGGAGTGGTTGTCTGAAATCGACGGCGAGATTAAAAAGACAAGTCATGAAGAAATATTACATGACAATGCATGTTTAAAAATGATAATGATCAAACAGAAAACGAATGTAACATGTATTTTGATTGTATTTAAATTCTTTTGTTTTAATTTTTAAAAGAATCTAAATACTGTTGATATAGTTAAATACGATTCAAAGTCGACAAAGCAACTAACTAGCAATCTACGTTTTGAAGATACTGTCTTATTTTTAAACTTCACTTTGACCACGCACAAAATTATTTAAAAAAATATATCCAACTCAGGTCAAGTTTTCAGTACTGCATGAATTCATTTGCAGAAATGTTTCGGGGCAGAACATGCATTTGGAATACCATTGCATTACCATTAGAAAAGGTAACCAACACTAGATGTGAAAGGCTGTTACGTTCAGTGAGGAAGTGGCGTTTAGTTGAATATGTTGTCGTTTCCATTGGTCTGGGGAGGAGGGGAGGGAGGGGGATTCCTGAATTTAGTGAAACTTCTTTTCCTTTGGAAGCTAAGACCGTTATCAGAAAGGATTGTGGAACGCCCGTAGCCCTTACTTCAAAGGGCGCCAAAACTTACACGATAACAAGATACGTGCACTTTGAGTCGAGTAGGTATCTGCCTCAACATAATCCCGAATATAGCCTAGTCTTGAAATGAGCCGCTAATTAATTTTGACTCTGTGAAGTACTGACCATATAGAAAACTTGCACCCGTGTGATGCGGTGATTCCCAGACTGCCGCCGCGTACCTCTGGTGGGGCCATCTTTTAGGCGGTCTGTAGTTATCGTTGAGGCCCCCCACGTACACGATGACTAGATCCGTGCTCTCGGTAACCTGGGAGTCGTCGAAAAGACAGTTGGAATAGTCACACTGCTGGAAATTGAAAGCTTTCAACCAATACGGACGTCGCAGAACGGAGACCCGGAACTGCTTGGTAACAGAAACGTTCAGCTTCGTTTGATCGCACGCAAGGAAAGGCAAGCGATCGCACTGACCGATCAAGTCAGCACTTTGGCGAAGCTCTGAAGAAATGACGTCTGAAATGTTTTTATTTTTTGAAACAGTAACATTGGCCGGAAAACCCGCCTCTGACGGTTCAGTTTCATTTGTTATCTTGGTGTTGGTTCCGGCACTTTTCCTTTCGGTTGTAGAACTGGTCGTGTTCACAACGGGAGCAACAACAGCAGCAGCAGGTGTGTTGTCTTTTGAAACATCCCGTGGCCCTTCGGGGACTTTCGTTGTCGTGAGCGTGGCCGTGTTGGCTCCAGGGTGTGGGTCTGGATCCCGAGACAAGACCGTCGAGACTTCTTCTTTGACGGGAACGGTTGAGGACAGTATCGTGGGGACGGTGCCAATGTACGTCGCCAGAAAGAAGAAGCAGACGAAAGATGTGATGAGCACCAAGAGGCCGATGGCTTTACGCGACAGGGCGCTGTTAAGACGAAGAAGAAAAATTAAAAATTATTGGGATTAACAGTTTGAAACTATCTTTTCCCACTGGTTTGATTTATCATTAAAAAAAAACAACTAATATGAAATCTTCAAAGCGTAATGATTTAAGCATGTTAACTTTCTTTTAATTTAAAAAAAATATATATATATATTTACCTAATGCTCTTTTTGGTTTTCATCGCTAAAAAAACTTTGGGATTTCAATAATCCGCACACTAAAATAATTAAATTTTTTCTTCTTTTTTTTCTGTAACTACAGGAGTTGTTAGCTACAAATTCGTAAATAAATAACTTCAACCAAAGTACCGAAACAACACACATCGAAAATTTGATTTGATGGACGCGCGTAATGGCGACCCACTCTCGCAATTTTAAATCAGTATATCTTACAAGAAATATATATTTTTTTTATAGAAGGAAAACATTCTGGTGCCCGGGTTTCGTTTATTCCATTCATACCATGAATTATTGTATGTGTGGTAATTGTTACATAGTTTTCAATGTCCTCTAAGGTTAGGAGCAACAACTTTACGTTCTGAACACAAAGTACTCATTTATTCACCGAGTAAACTGTTATGTGAACGTGTAGATTTTAAGATTAAAAAACTGTTTTCTTACATGAAATATTCAGAGCTTTTAAATAAATCTGGTCGTTTCATCACCTTAAGTTCTTCCAATTCCATTGATGGATTTAAAGGAAAACTTTCACTACTCTTATGAAATCGCAACTTTCAAAAATATATGAAAGGGACCATTAAAAAACAACAACAACTGAAAAACAATCAAACTTCAATCCGCTAGCAGCAATTGAATGTTATTTTGCTCGTCCGTCAAAGCAGATTGAGACCATGGTAGTCATGGGATTTGTTTTTTGGGGCTGATTCTATCTAAGTGTACGTATATGGCGGGTAAAATGTATTGGGGCTTAAAGTTGTCTGGTGCAGCGGGTATAACAGATGGATTTTGTCATCACCAGGCACTGATCTAATCTGAGATTTCCTGGCTGTTCTTTTGTGCTATGACAACAGCCGTTCTGTTGGCTTCATGCTGTATACAGCCTTTGTGTAAGGAGGAACGCCCCAATGATCGATCGAATGCTGATTCTTTTCACGTGTCCGTACATTCAACGTTTTCAGTGAGCCGAGCAGGTTGTCTTAAATTATTAATTTAAAAAAAACAAAAACAACATATCCCCCAAGCAAATCGCCTTCCATGCTTGATATTAAAATGAAGGATTGCGTTCAAGTTGTTTGAAGGAACAAGTGGAACAAGGTTTATGTGGACGCTCAAAATATAACGAACGGAAAACAAATCAAAAACGTTTCGACTATATACATTATAGCAGTCAGCAATAAAGCCTTAGCCATATTTTTATTTCTCTTTTTTTTTTCTTTTTTTTTTTTTTTTCGAATCTTTTTTTTCTTTTTTATGCAACACTTTTTTTTTTATTTCTTTTTTTTTTTTCTTTTTTTTTTTTTGCGAATCTTGTTATGCTGTTGAATGCAACACTTTTTAACACACCATTTCCACACAGCACAGGAAACTTCCCGCATAAAGGCACACGTGGATTTGGATGATTCTAAAAGACGTCACAAGCTTTACCGCTTGACCTGCTTCGCCAAATAAAAAGTGTTGGACTGAACGCTTTAAAAATAGATTAATTAGACACGAACGATTTGTGTCAATATAACACTGTAATTTAAGCTTTAATAATAATTTTACAGAATACATCAGTACAAGTGTATTATGTAAATGTATTATTAAAAGCTTAACTTATATTGTTATATTGACACAAATTGTTCGTGTCTAATTAATCTTCGCCGAATAAAGTTTAATATTCATAGGTTCCATTTCATTTGTTTCGACAATATTCCCCAAATTGATACGACCCACTTAATATTTAAGCCTAAACTAGATTTTCAGGCTTCGTTTTGTCTACGAGGTTGCTGTTCATTTATATCAGGACATAGCCGTACCTATAACTAAAAAAGAAACGAAACGAAAACCATAATGGTTTTAAATAATATAATTAATGAGTGCATGCAGTAAATAGAAAGATTACAAAGCCTAGCTCTAAATTACGAATGAAATAGACGTTCTGAGAATAGACAACCTACTGATCTATACACTAGAGTTACTGGGGAGAGAGCCAACACAATGACTTTCATGTTATGTAGGTACAAGCAGTAAGAATAAAAAGGCAAAAGCATACACAATGATAAGTGAGTTATGGGGTTGGGCAACACCTTTCACAAGAATTACGCTTCATTCGATGCATAAAGGAAGATGACAGGTCACAAAATATACTGAATTTTTCCCGAGTTCGGATGACACATTACACTCTAATACAATAAACAATTCCTAAGCTCAGGTGAAATATTACGCAATAATGTAATGAATAATACCTAAATTCAGATGACATATTACACACTAATAGAATAAAGATTTCGTAAGTACAGATGACATTATTTTCGTACCTATGGTTGAATACGCGAATACAATAATTATCAGCCAGAATGATCAATTCATTGATCGTGGGCCCTCAAAATAAAGAAGAAAACGTTAATTTTTCCACTAGCATCCGATTCCGATTTATAAGAGTCAGATGTGGAAGGACAAGTCAACCGCGCTCAATTAAGCTACTATGTATGGAATATTAATACGGCTAACTGCGTACACTAACTTCAGTGACATACCAATGATAACTCCATAGAACACACAGGATATCCTAACGCTATCCACGAACCAAAGATTTAAGCACTTGAACGCAGTTCACAAGCTAATCCAACACATTTGACAAACTACATGCACTGTCCCTATAAAGTTAATGAATATGATAAATAGGTAAGCATAAATGGATAACGAAAACTCTCATGCGGAATTTATAATAGTTTTTTTTCTCTTTAAAGTTTTTTCATTCATATCTTCAGACAGATTGACACACATTGAGATAAACCAATTGGCATCTGACACCAAAAGGAAACAAGGTCAATATATTTGATCAGATCAAAATAAATAATTGATGAAAAAAAACACACATATATCAATAGTGTGAATTTGATCACGTTTAAATGTATACCGATAGACGATATTTTTGTGTGTGCTTTTTTCGGATTTGAGAACCATGAAGTTTGTTGTTGTTGTTTTTTTTTTTTTTTTGTTTGGCATTTTGTTGTTGTTGTTGTTTTTTTAAAATTAACTAACACATTTAGCACGGAGTATGGCGAATGAGAAGAAAATATTGAATCGCTGACGTGCACAGCCCCAAAAAATGAATTTGTCCTGCGTTGAATTTAAATTCAAAATTGATGGCTCTACAGTCTACGTGAATCCATGCCAAGCCTGGTATTCTGATACTTTTAATGTCCATATTGAAATATCTGCCAGATTTCAAGGCGGCCTGATAATATTCAGCACATCTTGATGCTGGCCAAGAATATTTCACCAAAAAAATTAAAAAAAAAAAAGAAAATGCATTTTTTTTAATAGATCGAATCTTTGGCATCCTTAAACAGATTTTAAATAGAACACCTTTAAGTGATGAACTCTATTTAACCGTTCTGAACTAGTTTAAGGGCTCTCTGCCTTATACACAACAGCAAACAACAACTCACTATGTAAATGTACAGTTATCAATACTTCATGCAAAGTACGAACATTTACAGCGTATTGTTACAGTGCAAGCAGTGAGAAACATGGACTCGATCTGTATTTATGTTTCAAATTATTCCAACGAATGCTCGCACTTCTTATCCTATTTTGTAAACTCCACATCAAAAATGTATTAAGTTACTTTAATTTTTATTTTATTTTCCAAATATCTATTGATTGATTGACATATAGTCTTTCTGAAGAAGTCCATATGCAGTTAAGAAACTAATGCTCTTGCAAATCACCACCTGGGGTGCTCGCGACTCCAATATCGGGGGGGGGGGGGGGGGTGGCGTGGGGGTGACATGTTAGAGGGTCCGAGGAAAGGGATTTAAAATCAAAGAGTAGACATTACCTTTTAAGATATGAAATAAATAAATATATATATATATATATATATAATATTTTTCTTGTATTCATTTACATTTTAGTTTACTTTATTTTCTAAGTTGTAGATTCTCCTTTGCATTTAAAGGAATGTTTTACAGATCTGGTTTGTGTATGTGTGTGTATGTATGTGTGTGTGTGTGTTGTTTTTTTGTGCGTATTTTAAAATGCATCTTTTTTCATTTTTTAACTGATGCAGGACCATACATTCTTATAGGGTGTGGGACTTATCAACTGATTCGCAGGTGATGTAGGATATAGAAAGGTATGGGAACATCTGGTCAAAGCCAGCACGAACTTTACTGGTAAAGGGAAGCTTTTGAATAGTGCTATGGCTCCATATACGTCAGTGTTTCTCAAATGTGTGTGCTCCGCACCCACTGCGCATTGATTTATGTCTCATACCCCTATAAAAATTTTGTTTTTTTTTAAACCATATTTTTGTTTGTTTTAAATAATGTTTTTAGCACATTACCAAACGATCTTTTGACAATTTTAAAATGAGCGATTGACCCCATTACATAAGATTGACCCCATTACATAAGATTGACCCCATTACATAAGATTGACCCATTACATAAGGTACCATTATAAGAACAAGTTTAATTGACATAAGTCAAAAAGTTTAACATAACGATACTAGCGTGCCAGGTGAGATAGAGATGACACAGTACGAATATTTTACCATGCCATGTGCAGGGATTAATCAGCATGCTCATAGAGGGCACAGTTTCCGGCAGGCAAAATCCAGAAAGTCAAGTGCCCCTCGGAGCAAAACATGTCACAACAATATAACGAAAAAAAAAATGTTTTTTAACAACAAAATTTTATTTTTAAACACTTTTCAAAGCATAATAACTGTTTCATTTAACCAATTACAATTAGTGGAATTTATAAAATACTGCTAGGCTTGATATGTTTGATGATCCGTATTATTGGTGCTAATCCTGCTATAGGAATCGGCCATAAGTATCGTACTGGCCGCTCCAGACTTATTTCCTTTTATTCGCATGCATCGCTATTTTTATTGATTTTTTTTTTTTTTGCAACATCACAAGTTTAAAGACTTTACTGACACTTTAATAAAATGCATTTACATACCTGTAAAGGTCTAAAATTTAAATTATAGTCAAGTATCAAACGTGTACAATCTGTTTTCAAATTATAGTTCATCGTGAAAGCATGACTTTAGATGTAGGGATAGGCGCTATTTATAAATTGTATGAAGGCATCATGCTTTTATTTTCCAGTTTAGATTTTTAAAGGGAGCTTACTCCAATGTAGAACTGTTTTAGAGACCTGCATGGCTTCTTTTTTATTAATTTTTTATTTTGCGATTCGTGTGGAAAAATAAAGGGACATTAAATCTGAAGAGTATTTTCATGGCGGTTATCTTAACTACCTCAGGTGATTGCCTAATTAACTATTAAAAATAATTTAGAAAATCCTTTTACTCCTAGAACGAATGTTTGCTTCTAAATAACTGTGTATTTGTAATGACACATACATTATTATTAACTTTTTTTAAAATAAATTATATTTTTTTAAAAGATCACCTTTCTCTACGATGCGCCGTTCGCGGTAATCTGTTCTCTTCTTTCACCATCGTTGGAGATTCCTTTCGATAACGACCTGTGATATTCCCGAATTTCTGACCCACGGGGTCTGCAGTGAAACCTGGTTATTTCACCATGGGCGTGTCACGCTGCTGTTCGATGAGTGGCGTGTCACGCAGTTGTTCACCATGGGCGTGTCATGCATTTATTCACTGTGGGCGTGTCACGCTGCTGTTCACCGTGGGCGTGTCACACTGCTCAAAGCGAAATTGTATTTTCGCCATTAGAGGGTCTGATTTTTATGAGTCGATTATCCGGCTGCATGCAGCACCAACTTAGAACCGAAAATCAATCAGCAAAATATCGAAATAGGTTGTAGTCACTGTAGTGTAGTTAAGTTGTAGTCGATTTGTAGTCCATGAAGATCTGCCAACATTGTCAAGCAGATATTGTGGAATTATTCATATCACTAGAACCTTAATGAATAATAATAGAAAGAAAAAATGCAGGTTTAAAAGGAGGGCGACAAATATAACACTAGAGAGATGGAGGAGACTGACAGAGGGATAGAAGTTAGATAAACATATATTATATAAAGAGAGCTTGAGGGATAGCAGCGAGTTACATGTCTTTACTACACAGACGGACAAGAGGATCAACGGAAGATGACATACAGTATAGAATACTATAGAAAGAGAGACAAAAGTGAGATATACCTCTAATATACAAAAGAGAGACGGACGAAACAATATTTCTCGTTGATCAGGTGTTGGTTTTTTTTAAACTTAAATATAAAAAAAAGATTCAAATTCATAAACATTGAACATAACCTATACGTCCATAGTCATGGAATTGTAAAAGAAGTGTCGTGGCCAGCCGTGAAATGAACGCCTACTAGAATGGCGATGAAGACACCTATATATATATATATATANGTTTTAAGTTTGTTTGGTAAAAGATTCTCTGAAGTTGTTTTTTTTTGTCCCATCGATAAATATATTTTCAGAAATGTACAATCCTTTTCAACCAACGGGATATTAAAAAAAAAAAAGATATTTAAAAGAATAGAATAAAATCACTGTGAAATCTCATAACTGTTGAATAAGCGATCGGTTAGAAGCCCTTCTGACGATAGTATACAATGACTATATTCAAAACATATTTGATACGTGTTTCACAGCAAGATCTATATGGCGATAAAATAACTGATATAGATATATAAATACTTGAGAAGAATTGTAGAAGAAAACCGTTGAATGAGAAGCAGACTGATAAAATGACAGAGTTAAAAATTAATAGAGATATTTCCAGGAACAAATCAGCCAGCTTTTAATCTTATATATAATAATAATAATAAAGTTTATTTAAAAAAACACGCTTCATCCCCAAAGGCTCGAAGCGCGGTACAAAGTCAACAAAAAACATATCTATAATTGACCACATTTAAAACAAACGCAACACTACAAAAACTAATTACAAGCATACAATGTCAAAGTCTTTCTAGACATTTCAACCATGAGCAACACCGCCATTATGCATTAACTGGAAAATACGGTAGACAATCATCCCAGAAGGTGTTTGCGAAATAGATGTGTCTTTAAATCGGTTTTAAAGGACTCCAGTGTCTGGTTGTTTCTGAGATCGATAGAAAGGGCGTTCCAAATTGTTGGACCAGCAAATGCGAAAGTGCGCTTTCCGTAGTCTCAAGGCAAATAGAGAGAGAGAGAGAGAGAGAGAGAGAGAGAGAGAGAGAGAGAGAGAGGAGAGAGAGTGAGAGAGAGAGATTTTAACAATTAATATATTGGATTTTATGGGAACTGTTTTGGGTTTATTCTGTCGTATATATAGGAGTGTCCCTAGAGTATTTATCTTTCTCTACTCTAACTAAACTAATTCACTCTATCCCTCGAACCGTCTTATTCTGGTTTTTATTTCTTTTTCTTTTCCATCGTCTTTTCTCTATTTATATGTAAATCTCTACACCCCTCTCTGTCTCTCTGTCTCTCTCTCCCTATCTGTATTTCTTTTTTCCGTTCTCTCTTTCTCTCTCTCGCTCTCTCTCTCTCTCTCTTTCTCTCGGTTTACATATAATCTGTTTCCATCCTTCGCTGCCTTCTTTTTAAGTCAAAATGAGGGGGACACATATTTAATTATATTGCTGTTCTGGTCTCTGGAGATTTTAAGCATTTTTCAAATATTATTATTATTAACATTATTACTATGACAAATATTAGTTGTATTTTTATGTGTATAGTTCTTTTTTTTTTAAGATGATGATCTTCTTAACATACGCTAAGTGAATTTCAGAGATGGATTTACGAAATCGGTAATCCAACAATTAAAAAAAAACAAACAAACAAACTATTGATAGGAATTAACGCTTCTAAAAAAATCAAATTTGACCTGGGAGATAATTAAAAAGCCCATAAAAGCAAAGTTTGTGGTTGAACTTCTTGATCAGCACTTCAAATTATTTTACTTTATAAATATATTCTAATAACCCAAACGCTTTTGCACCGCAAATTTATTACACCAACTATTTCAGAACCATAAATAACGTAAAATGTTGCGCACCAAACGCACTTGCGATATTTCTTAATAAAAGAATCTTACTTAGCGCAGTTATTTGGGTATTTTATTTCGTGAAATCACTGGCATCATATTTCCTTCGACGTCTCATTGAAAAACTGGAAAAAATTTATTTTTGGGCGGTTGGGGCTGAAATTTTGAAAGAATTTGTTGTCATTGGCAAGGAGTCTATGTGTTAAGTTTCAGCTTGATAGGTTTGACGGGAAGTGAGTCAACGAACCGTCCGGGGAATTTGCCACACATCCAGCCATAAAGAAACACACGAACTTAGGCGAAGTTAATATAAAGAAAGCACAAATGGTGTAGGGAGGGGACAGTCCACTCCACGGGTCACATTATCCTCATATTGAAGGGGCTGCTGTTTTTTCGGCTAACTGCAGAATTTCTTTCGCGGCCAGAGGTGGCAAAACAGGATGGCCCACCCTGGCGGCACTAACAGTGGATGCGCCACTGCCTATGAATAATTATAAACCTAAATACAACAATGCTCTTAAATGGATAGTTGAAATGTCAGCCGTAGGAAAACACTACTTAATTACGGGGGTGTAGACCTAACTCACATTGTCCTCTGTTCAAACATGGGAAGACAGCAAGCGTGTCATCAGTGTTTGAACAAAGTAGGGTGTTTGCTCCCGGGTGCAGCGAGACCCACGGTCGTCTGAAGTGAACATGCGGGCTAATTTCCCCGAAAACACCTGAACGACGGCGGACAGACAACTTCTGACGACGCAGACGACAAACCAATCGCGTGTAACCCCCGACCTCCCCCCCCCCCAAACTGCCTGGTCGCCTGCAAGGAAGAAACGCCAATTCCAAATTTACAAAACATTTTGGTTGCACAGCCTCTAGATGTAATGCTAGTACGGAGTGATCCTTTCAAATTCTGATCTTTCATAGCTCTTGTCCTGGCGGCTCTCTCATCCCACCGACCTTCAAGGCCATCGCGGCCGGGGGGGGGGGGGGGGGGGGGGGAAGGAGGGAACACGTCACTGATTCTCTTGTTGTTGACCTTTTATACCCCGACCTTAATCTCTCAAAATTATTAACCGATCCATAGTCAACTGTTATTTAATTCACCACTTGATTAAGCCATATAAAAGAAAGGTATTAGTTAGATATAGCTGTTTACCTCGTCAATAAACAGAGCCAATCAAACGCAGTCAACAACGCACCTGCTGCAGGAGATTAGTACTTAATGACATCGTCCTAAGAAGGAAGATCGTCGCGGCCGGAGCTAGAGGCAATGTTGTGTGCAACAATCGATCATTTTATTTCAGATACATTACTATATCTTATTTCTAAAACTCGATATTGTGTTTTAGTCGCTCAATTCCACGTCTCGCGTCGCGTGTCAATAGGAATGGATGCAGCACAGCGTGACTTGGCGACATCGTGGCGCCAGTCACGATCGATGAATTGGTTTTAGGGGTAAGGGGAGGGGAGGTGCGGGCAGTTGTCTTGTGTTACAGTTGAATGCGCCGAGACAAACTTTGCAGGTAATGCAGTGGCGATACACGTGGGATACATGGGTATTGTGGCCTAAAAAACAATTGCGTAAGAAAGGGGGGGGGGCTGTTGGAGCGGTGGGGGGGGCTGTTGGAGCGGTGGGGGGGGCTGTTGGAGCGGTGGGGGGGGGCTGTTGGAGCGGTGGGGGGTGGGTACGTAAGTTATACTTATGCTGAAGAGCTACAGAGATTTTTTTTTTTCCCGAGGAGGTAGCAACACAAGGTTTCGCACGCCATTTGAGGTAAATATCCCGTTTCTTGTTGGGATATCCATCGCTGTTGGGATCACTTTCTCCTTTTAGGACCCCATTACCCGATCGGCCCCATTTACGCGATGGGAACCCTTTAACCCTTGAGAAGCCTTTACTCATTAGGACACGCTTCCACTCTGTAACTCTGCTCCTCTTTTGCGATCCTGTTACACAATGGGTTACATTTCTCTGTTATGGTACCATTCCCGGTTGGGATCCATTCAGTTTTAAATCCCATATCCCGATGGATCCTTTTCTCCGTTTAGTGTTAGTTATTTGTTACTTTCCAAGTCCCTGGTGTGATCCATCCCAGTAAAATCCTTTTCCCAAAGGGATACCGTATCCCGATGAGATCCCGTTCCATCGTGGGATCACATTCACTGATTGGAACCCGTTCCCTATTAGACCCGCATTCTTTTTTATGACCTCATTCTACGTAAGGATCCCTTCCCACTTGGGATCCCTTTCCCCATCGGAATTCCGTTCCCCTTTGGAATCACGTGAATTATTGTGATCCCATCCCTCTGTGGTATCCCGCCCCTTTTGGGAAATATGATTCCTGATGGAATCTCGTTCCCTCATAGAATTTATTTTCATAATGGTACACGTAGACGCGATTACTGTTATCTTCATCTATATATGTATAGTTATGTAAGAGTATGTGTTATATATATATATATATATATATATATATATATATATATATATGTTGTGCCGGAAATATATTTCCAACCAGAAACGTATGCATGGATGTGAAAAGTTTGAGATCCTCTGTTCTAAACCATCTTTAATCAAAATATCTCCTTTCAAAATTATTTTAGATATTAACATTAAAATACCATCAATTTACATCTTTAAAAATAAATGCTTGATTACAGTTAGTATATATTCGCAAAATACCAAGGGGGTGGGTGGGTGGGGGGGGGGCTCAATCTAAATAGTCCACCCTCTAGACACACGCCGACATAATATATTCTATCATTTTATATCCCCTTGCCCTTCGCACTCTTTTTGGTTCACCAAAAACTCAGAGACAAAACCCCCACTTACCTTATCTTGAGACCATGTAGGACGTAGACGCTCCATTCAGTAGGACGTAGACGCCCCAATCAGTAGGACGTAGACGCCCCATTCAGTAGGACGTAGACGCCCCATTCAATAGGACATGGACGCCCATTTCAGTAGGAAGTAGATGCCCAATTCAGTAGGACATGGACGCCCTATTCAGTAGGACGTAGACGCCCCATTTAGTAGGACGTAGACGCTCCATTCAGTAGGACGTAGACGCCCCATTCAGTAGGACGTAGACGCCCCATTCTGTAGGACTTAGACGCCCCATTCAGTAGGACGTAGACGCCCCATTCAGTAGGACGTAGACGCCCCATTCAGTAGGACGTAGACGCCCCATTCAATAGGACGTAGACGCCTCATTCAGTAGGACGTAGACGCCCCATTCAGTAGGACATAGACGCCCCATTCAGTATCGCCCCATTTAGTAGGACGTAGACGCCCTATTCAGTAGGACGTAGACGCCCCATTCTGTAGGAAGTAGGCGCCCCATTCAGTAGGACGTAGACGCCCCATTTTGTAAGACGTAGACGCCCCATTCAATAGGACGTAGACGCCCCATTCAGTAGGACGTAGACGCCCCATTCAATAGGACATAGACGCCCCATTCAATAGAACGTAGACGCCCCATTCAGTAGGGCGTAGACGCCCCACTCACGGATAGCTTGGTTCGGCATACATTTTAAATCCACCGTTTCACACACACACACGTGCGCCGCGGCCCTCCCACTACTGACTCCGTAGTTCACAGCGTCTCAACGCCTCTTAATAAACAACACATTTTTTTTGCAACAGAATAAACACGAAGGCGTTTCCACAGCGATCATCGGTGTGTCTCTGATGAACCTTGTCGCCACCCGATGTCGACTCTCTAATTTTTTCCGCGTCTCGTCTCTGTCTTACAAACACGCCCACACTTGAAGCTTAATCAATTCCATTTTAAGTTGTTGCAAGTTCTATAGAACTTTAAAATCCAGAGGATCCACAGTATTTCCAATGTCTACCAGCGTGTTTTAGATAAACCTGTAAAAAGGACTGTTTAATGTAGGATTATGAAGGATTATGTATCTTTGTAATTTAGTTATAACACATAAAAAAAGGATTGTAATACGTGATTATCGGAAAATAAATTTAACATGAATCGAACATTAATTGGGTATTAATGTCTTTCCGTAAAACCAATAATCAGTGTCGATACCGATTTGGTAAAAGAAGAATTAATGAAGGACTGCGTTCAAGTTTTGAGAAGGAAATAGTCGAGCAAGGAAGCTGAAAGACAGGACAGTAAAATAAGTAACAAGCAGGTTGGGGACAGGTACCTACAATAAATAGTTGCAGTCAAGTGTCAGAGAATAAAAAAGAAATGCAGGGCGATTCGCTGCAGTCTCTTCCAATATCCCACTCCCCCCCCCGCCCCCCCCCCCCCCCCCCCCCCCCCCCCTGTTGGGGACAGGTACCTACAATAAATAGTTGCAGTCAAGTGTCAGAGAATAAAAAAGAAATGCAGGGCGATTCGCTGCAGTCTCTTCCAATATCCCCCTCCCTCCCCCGCCCCCCCCCCCGCCCCAACACTCTATCTTTGAGATCAGCGATGCGTGACTGACTGATATTAAAAAAAAACAGCCTTGCTTTGGGTGATATGTCGACGTCGTTCCATGTGGATGGTCATGTTAAGACTTGATTTTTTTACGGTTAAACCCAAGACAATTTAGCAGACCAAAACGTCATCCATGCACATCTAGATTGCGTTATTGAATTCGTCATTTTAAGCATGTGCGCCCCCAACCCACTGTAAAAGACATTCCTCCACACAGACACACACACACCTCTGTCAATCAAGTAAAGGTCGTGAATTATGATTCACGCAGTCTAGACGGAGCGTAATGACACAACACAGTGTTGCTTGTTTTGGTTTTTTTTTTATTAAGAAAAAGAATTAATATTAACTTGATTGTAGACTTCCGTGTTTCGAAATGTTGTGTGCATTTTTTCTTTCTGTTTCTCTCACCCTCTCTGTCCCTCTTTCCCAATTTCTCTCTCTCTCTCTCTCTCTCTCTCTCTCTCTCTCTCTATGTGTTTGTGTGTGTGTGGGTGTCTGAATATTTCCATCTCTGTCTCTGTATCTACCCCGCTCTCTCTCTCTCTGTGTTTGTGTGTGTTGGTGTCTGAATATTCCCATCTCTGTCTCTGTATCTACCCCGCTCTCTCTCTCTCTGTGTTTGTGTGTGTTGGTGTCTGAATATCCCCATCTCTGTCGCTGTATCTACCTCTCTCTCTCTCTCTCCGTGTGTTTGTGTGTGTTGGTGTCTGAATATCCCCATCTCTGTCGCTGTATCTACCTATCTCTCTCTCTCTCTCTCTCTCTCTCTCTCTCTGCGCCCCCACCTCTTTCCTTCTCTCTCTGTGTTTGTCTCTCTTTTCTCTGGCTTGAAGTGTTGACTCCTTTAACGTGAAGATTCTTTCCGGCATGCTTACCTTTGACGTTGTTATTGTTGTTGTTGGGTTTCTAGCTCTACTACGTGCGGTTGTATTGAGCTTCAGATGGATAGAAAGGATTACATGCAAATGAAACTTTTCCCCACATATTTCTAACTTCCTTCCAACATATTTCATAACTTCCTTCCCACATATTTCTTAAATTTCTTCCCACATATTTCTTAACTTCCTTCCCACATATTTCTTAACTTTCTTCCCACATATTTCTTAACTTCTTTCCCACATGTTTCTTAACTTCCTTCCCACATGTTTCCTAACTTCCTTCTCACATATTTCCTAACTTCCTTCCCACATATTTCTTAACTTCCTTCCCACATATTTCTTAACTTCCTTCCCACATATTTCTTAACTTCCTTCCCACATATTTCTTAAACTT